TATATCCAACCTCCTGTGTCCCCCATCTGCTTTAAATATCCAATTTTAAATTCCGGTAAATTCCCCTCACTTTTTTTTTTTTTTTTTCACCCACCTTGCTGAAAAGTTGCCTGTGTGCTTTCTTGGTTTCACTCCATGGAGCAGCCAGGAAAGCAACCTCCTCTATTTCGCCATCTTGAAAAACCTCCCCTTCCTTTAAATTCTTTATAACCTATTAGTTTATTTTGCAGGAAGTTTATATTCATTTCTAAAACTAAGTATTTTTAATCAATTGATTCCTAATTATCTCAGTATTCCTTTTTAATTTCATTTGTTTTCATTGAAACATCTCATTGCTCACTTTGTCTGGTTTTCCTAGACTTGCCTCCTGACCATTTATTATGTTATTCCTTATCTGAAGATATCTAGTTTTGTCCTAAATTTATATCTTCTACAAAGCTTTCTTTGATTAAATCAAAACTTTAGATAAAAATTTCCAAAATAAATCTTTGCAACACAGTATAAAACACAGAACAGGGGCTGTGATGTGGCTCAAGTGGTAGCGCGCTCGCCTGGCATGCTTGCGGCTCGGGTTCGATCCTCAACACCACATACAAACGAAGATGTTGTGTCCGCCGAGAACTAAGAAAAAATAAATAAATGTTAAAATTCTCTCTCTCTCTCTGTCCCCCTCTCTCTCTCACTCTCTCTTAAAAAAAAAACCACACAGAATATTGTATGTGTTCTAAAATAATAGCTAAATAATAGGTGATTTTTATTGAGTGCTTATTGAGTACATGCCAGGTATTGTTCTAAACACATTATACATGCAGCATTCCACTTAATTCTCATTAGATATCTGTGATGTTTGTGACATTATTATCTAATTTTACAGATAAGGAGCTGAAGCAAAAAGAAGTTAAGTAATTTACTCCAGGATTCTCTACCAGAGGAAGTGTTAGAACTTGGAGTTGAACCCAGGTAGTCTTGACAGAACCCATACACTCAATCCCATCTCACTAAGCTAGCAATCTGTGGTGAGAACATTCCAAATGTGGAAGCAAAATGTAGGCTGTTCCATGGGATCTAGGTTTGGAGCACTGGTCATTCAAAATGGCCAGTGTCTCTAACTAGCCTACTGGATTTTCTATGTAAGGGCAAGGCCCACATCTCTTTGTAATTCCAACGTCTGGCACAATGACAGTCCCAATGAAGACATTTCATAGGTGTGGTTAAATAAATCAATTCAATAAATAAAAATAATATTTGCAATTCTGTTTTTTAGGTTTTTTTGTTTTTGTTTTGTTTTTTTGATGCTGGGGATCGAACCCAAGGCCTTCTGCAGCAAGGCCATCCTCTATTAATTGAGCTACATCCCCAGCCTTGCAGTTCTGTTCTTTATAAGTTCTATTTAGCCGAAGACACTTGAACCCTATCATTACCATGATCAAATAATACAGAAAGTATATTTCCTTTTTTAGCAATGGATGCATTGTGGAAAATATCATATGCAAACCGAATCATAGTTTCCTGATGTCTTGCATTGTGATATTTGAAAATCTAAGTAAAATTTTCTGAAAGAACTACCAAATATTAGATTTGTCTTTATGTTCTGCTCACTCATCCACTTCTGCTCACTCATCCACCACTCATATTTATATGCTTATATATGTATATGCATAAGTGCCCCAGGAATGTTTCTATTTAAAGGACTCCTTTTTTGTATTATATGGAAAATAGACAAAAAATTCTTAACATGGAAAGTCCAGGTTTATACTTTTGCTTGACCCACTCCCTCATGCTGAAGTGATAACAATGAGGCAAAAAGAGAGCAAAAGCCCTGTGGTGTGATCTCTCGAAGTATCAAATTAGACAAAAGGTAGATTCAGTATATTAATAATGTATATATTAATAATAATAATAATAATCTAACTCACATGTTAGACCAGTGGGAAGAACAAATTTAATAAAATTTATTTGAAAACTAGGAATAAAAGGTAAATGGAAGGTACTGGGACTTTGGGATTTTAAGTTATAATTCTACCATATTATTTGTTTTAAAATCTCTTTGGGGATGTAGCACAGTAGAACATGAGCTTAGCATGTGTGAAGTTCCAGGTTCAATCCCCAACACAGCAAAACAAAAAAAACTCACTATCATGTAATTAAACATATCATGAAGTAAAAAAGTCCTTGGAGTTGAAAATACTTTTTGGCAATTGTTAAAGTGACAGGAAAGAATCAGAATTGTCCTCTACCCTTCAACCTCATCCCAGGTGCTCCTACTTTTTTTTACTTCTGGTAAATGAATTTCTCTGACTGTTTTTAAAAATTTTTTTTAAGATAACACAATGTCCAACAGATACACAAATTTAATAAAGTATTCACATTATGTATAGAGACTATTTATGCTTTTTAAAGATAGTTTATTTTAAAGAAATGAATTTATTAAACTAATTAAGACAGTTTATTTTGCTTTATGAAAACTACACCCAGCCATGTGGTATCCAGATATTTGGTTAGACATTATTTCTGTATATTTGTGGTGGTGTTTCTGGATGAGATTAACATTTGAATCAGCAGACTGAAAAAAAGTAGATTATCCTCCCTAATGTGGCAGGCCTCATCCAATCTGTTCAAAGTCTAAAGAGAATGAAAAAAAAAATCCTTCTCTCTGCCTGCCTTTGAGCTGAAATGTCATTCTTCTGCCTTCACACTCAGATTCAGACTGTAACTTACACCATTGACCCTCCTGGTCCTCAGGTCTTGGACTTGGAACACTATTGACATCATTGATTCTCTTAGGTTCCAGCTTGCCAAATGCAGGTCTTGATTATTCTGCCTCCATATCATAATCATATTAGTGAAATCTTTTTTTTTTTTTTTTGGTTCTGGGTGTTGAGCCCAGGGGCACTTTTCCACTGAGTTATATCCCAAGTCGTGTTTTATTTTTAATTTTGAGATGGGGTCTCACTAAGTTGCCAAGGCTAGTCTTGAACTTGTGATCCTCCTGCTTCAGCCTCCTAAGTCACTGGGATTTCAGATGTGTGCCATCACATCCAACCCTTCCAGTCTCCTTCAATCTCTCTCAATATAGATATAAATATATCTTATTGATTTTGTTTCTCTTTACAACCTGGACTAATATACCTACTACATAAAAGAGGATTTCAATTTACTATCTTTAGGTTAAATTGCTTATATTGAAAAATTCATCTATTAGTATCTGTGCATTTGATGAATCATAAAACTCTTTGGAATGCCACTCTGGGCAACTCTTCTAGGAAGGTGGTGTAGTGTACAATAAGAGCTTATGCTCAGGGGTCAAACTGGTGTAGCTTGAATTCTGGCTGTGCCACTTATTAGCAGTGTGACTTAGGTCAGTAATTTGTTTTCTTAAAATTCAGTTTGCTTATTTTAATATAAGGCTAGTAACTTGTGTCTCATCAGGATGTTGTAACTCTCAATAGTTGAAGTATCAGCATAGGACTAGGAATATAACACTCAAACTTAGTGCCTTTGCTTGTGACTCTGAACAGAACAGCAGGATGAAGGAATGTGCAAAGTGTGTGAGGTATGGTGAATGGAAATTGTAAGTCAGTTTACCTCAATATTTCCAAAGTAAAACTAATTTCCAATATAAGTTGAACATTTTATTTCTGCCAAAATAATATGGGCTGTGTCACTTGGTTGTCCTTAAAAATTACATTCTAACACTGATTCTTATTGTAATTTTCCTAATCTTAGATGCCCTTGGGTCCTAGCTTCCAGGAAAGGAATGAGATCTAGCAGCTCACCATTCTTCCCATCATATACATGAGAAACTGGGATTCAGGAGTGGCATCTTTCCAAAAGTAATATGGAATGTCAGCATCCAAGTTAAAATCCTTTCAGGCACAGGCAATTGGGGCTACCAGGTCCCTTGGAAAATGATATAGTAGGTGAAATGAGGGCTCAAGAGAAGACATTACTTAATGTCTTATCACAGGATAAGAAGAAAGAAAAAAGTTATAGAAAATATGTACAAACACATCCTATTAGTACTTATACATATGTACACACATACACACACACACACTCAAACACAATACACACACATGCAATTGCAAACCTTTCAAGACTTTGCTTAAGTTTTACTTCCTCAATGATGTTTACTTTGACCATTCTATTAAATACTGCAGCCTATCTCCACCTATTCCTCCTGAATCCCTATTTCCTCTGCACTTTTTTTCCCACAGTACTTTTAAAACTGCCTTTCTAATGCCAATTATAATCTAAATATTAATTAACATTATCTCTATAACCCCATTCACATTCTAGAATGAGAAATCCATAATCGAAAAGGTTGTTCTTTTTTGTTCACTGATACATTCCAATTGTGTAAATAGTACCCAACATACAGGAGGCACCCAATAAATATGTGCAGAATAAGGAGGTTCTGAGAAACACAAGCGAATCTCAGGTAAGGAAGACAGAGTGAACACCTGTACAGGCTCCCTCCCCAAACTCTAGCAAAATTATAGTAAATGAATTATTTAACAGGCATAATCCAAGGATGGAAAAAAATGGGAGAAGAGACTACAGGCAGATTCTGGAAGCTGGAACACAGGTGGATGACTAAGACTGAACCTGAATCAGAACCAGTGAAGCTGAAGCAGGCACTGGGGACAGCACAGAAGCAACATGGTTTCCATGGAAGAAGTCCACAAAGGCTCAAGATCCAGAGGCACTAGCTGCCTTGGAGGGCAGTGGGGAGGGCACAGAATCCTAAGGACAGGATCACTGATCTGTTGAAGAAGGAAATGCCCCAGACTCCAGACAAAACACTGGAAACTATTTACTGGTTGGAGAAAATTCCAGGATCTCTAACTGGGGAACATGAGATTCATCTGAGGGCAGAGTGACTGCATCAGTGTGGTGGAGTCAGGAGATAGAAACTGCAAAATGATAGGGAAGGGAAGGGAGGCTAAAGAGAATTAACATACTGGATGTCAGACTCATAAGGTCCTTCTCTTTTTCAGCATCTAGAATGCAGCAGCCAGTCCTCAACACTTCAAGCAGCAACTGAAAGAACTTTCTCTGCAGACTCTAAGAGCCTGGAAGGAAAAAGCTATGATACTGACATCTGAAATCACTCAAACATTTCTGTCACAGGCAGAGATCAGCTCTCACTGAACATGAGGTGCTCGCTCAGAGCTTCCTAGGGCCTTGTACCCACTGTTATACATAAACAAACAGGTGTGGATCATCAGGCACCTCAGACAGATCTGCCAAAACAAAAGAGCAAAAACAACAACAACAAAGAAATTTGGAAAAAGATTATGTAGGGAAAAAAGATTATGTAGGGAGAAGGAAAAAATATTCTCTAAACTATCATTAAAATTCTTAAAGGAATTAGAGAAAACACTGAATCAAAGGAACAAACAAGATGATACAAAAAGTAATAAAAAATAATAATAACAACAATAATAATGATAATAATAATAACCCACTGACAATTAAGGTATGATATAAAATGCAAAAAATAGGGGGTGGTTATAAGATGAAGGTAAAGAAATCTCCCATAAATCAAGTAAAGAAAAAGAAATTAAAAATAGAGAAGATATCTATCTATATCTATACACACACATATATACATATGTACATATGTATATATACATATATGTGTGTATATGTGTGTGTGTGTGTATTATATATATATATTTTAAAATTAAAGATCAATTCTGCAATTCTGGAGATTTAAGACAGAGAACAAAAAAATTGGAGGAAAAAGAGAAAATCATCAATACATCACCAAAATACATTCTCAGATTTGAAGGGTCCACACAATATCCTTGACAATGCATGGAAACTGACCCATACCAAGGCATATCAACATGAAATTTCAGAAAACTGGAGTTCCAGAGATAACTGAAAACATTCTACGTCTTGTGAGACTAATAGAAAATGAACAATTCCCCAAAGACGGTGAACCAGGAAAAAAGAACACAAAGAATCCATGAACAGAAGATACAATGCCAGCAAGAAGCAAAGGGAATCACTAGAATCATGCTTCTGAGAAGTCCTAAGAGAAGAGGAGGGCAGGAGGTTCATGGAGCACCCAGTCCAGGATGGAACAGGTGACAGGTTCCAGGAGAGACTGCTCCAAGACATTGAAATTGAGAGAATACCTGATGTGACCAAATGTATTGAGATGAGATGTAGAAGTTGGTGGGGAGATTGGGTGGAACTAATAATAAGTACAAGTGCACAGAAATCTAAAAGAAAACCAGTTATTAGGTCCAGAGAAAACAAAAAGTTACGCAGGAGGGAATCACATGTCTCCTGAGTGAACAATAGTTAAATAATATAAACATGGACTACAGATATAACCAAAATTACAACACAACTGTACTTAGAGTACTGAGAAAGTGAATCATCCAGGTGCCCACGTGAATGAGTGAGTGGTGGCTGTACTAGTGGTGATGGGGAAAAAGATAAAATTCTCTTCCGACCTGGAGAGAAGTCAATAAGTAATGTAAAAGGGTTTAAATCACTAAGTGGCCATGTGCTTATATGTCACATGTCACATAGAGATACAGAGGGGACTTCCAAAGAGTGAGCTAAAAGAAGTTCAAAGGTTGTCTCTGAGAAGCAGAAAATGGTGAGGAGGAAGGGGTCCTACTATTTTCATAACAAGCCTTATGAAAAATTTTCACTCTTTAAGTTATATAGAAATTAACAGGCATAAAATATGGAAAAAAAATACAAGGTAACTACAGAGACTTTTCAAATGAACAACACCCTTCTCCCCAATCTTTGTGACAACACTGTCTTGTTTCAAATCTTACTTGTCTTCCCCCAACCACTCATCCACATCCCAAAAAGGACACTAAGGAGAGGGAAGGGAAACACTGGATGATTCTGGGATCTGCTCAGCCAGGATCATATTAGAATCCCTGGCTCCGTTTTTAAGTCTGTTTTCACCAGATAACTTCTTCTGGGCAACTTAAAAGTTTTATATTGAAATTACAAGTTTCAAAACCAGGCTGACTCAATACTTGCATATTTCCTCTTCCTTACTTTCCACTGAAAGGTCCAAGCAATCGATTTCAAATGAACATCTTGTCCTCCTTTCTCTTTGTCTTTTCCTCTAGAGATTGGAGTGTTCCTGAGGTTTATCATCTTTGATGGGACTCATACTTGCCAAGTTTTTAATGCTTAAGAGTAACAAAGAGTCTTTACCCTTTCACCTTACTGTAGTGACCTCCACCTTATCCATACTGGCCTTCACTATGGATAAAAGGCACAGTATTATCAGTGGTTTTTTTTTTAAAAAAATACAAAATATTACCCTTTACCTGTTAAAAAACAAAACAAAAACCAAAAGGGGAAAACAATAGAAACAAATAAAAAGGACAAAATCTATTTAACCAAATACTTTTGATATGTGTTTTTTCCTGCTCCCTCTTGGTGAAACTATTTTTCAATTATATTACATTATTAAAATTTTTTTTTTAAATGTGTCTTTTGTTTTTGTTACCACTGTGTTCTCTTCCTGTTTTGTTTCTAATTCCCATTATCTTACCCTTGCACCTTCCTAGTCTATAATTTCTTCTTAGGTTATCAACTTTCTCTCTATCTTCATATAGACTCATTTAGATTTCATCTCTATTTCTCTTCCCAACACCAGATCCTGATTCCCAGGAGCCTATCGGGTAGTATTTGTATGTACATGTACTTTTTGCAACTCAAACTACATCAAAAATTGAACTCCTGGGCTGGGGATGTGGCTCAAGCAGTAGCGCGCTTGCCTGGCATGCGTGCGGCCCGG